CAGCAAATGCATGTGACATCTTTTACATTATCCAGGGCAGCCTCCTCCTTTAAAACCACTGTTGCATCAGTTTGGGAGAAAGGACATTCTCCTCTTTGACCAGCATTCATCCCAGTCACCACCTGCTCTTCATCAGTGGCCTAATTTTTTGGAACACAAATAAATATATTTAATATTCTTGTAATTTTTGTCCTCCATTGCAAGTCTGGGAGACCAATATTTTCTTCTGAACAGACATGTTCGCAATGATATAATTTAAGATTTATTCATATAAATATTGGCATGGATTGCTTCTACAATAACTCTGTATTTTCGAAAATACTGATTATCTAGATTTTCAGTGGATTAACAAAAAATTATGAGAGAAAATTAAAAATATCTTCATTTGTGTTCTAAAGATAGACAAAAGTCTTATAGGTTTGGAATGACATGAGGGCAAGTTAGGGCTGTGCAAAAAATCAAATGCGATTTTCCTGCGCATCTCGTCAGTAAAGCAGTAAAGCTCCTGTGATTAGTAGTAAATCTCCAGCACGTGCTTTCAGATGGAGCGGCATTTACTACAGAGCCGTAGTTCACTGACAAGCTACACAAAATCGCATTCAAAATCGCAGGTGATTCATTGCCGATTATGAACGCGATTTTGTGTAGCTTGCACTAAATTTTTTGCACAGCCCTAGGGCAAGTAAATTATTTTTTGTGTGAACTATTCCTTTAAGAAAGGAAGACCAAGAATGATGACTCTCCAAATCAGACAACTCCAAAGTTGGTTTGAGTTCTGCAATGAAAAACATGGACATCAATGGTTTACATAAAATATTAACACGTAATCATACTGTTGTTGCATCAAAATGTGAGGTAAACAGGCAGGAGACAACAGAAACATTTATTTTCTAAAAATAACTCGCATCAATCTCAAAAGAATGACGCTCTCCTATGTCTCTGGCTTTTAACATCTACAAAAACAACAAACATTCTTTAACTCTCAAAAAATTGTTAACATGGAATTCTGAAGTTTACTTGCCTTAAACCGTATTTCCCTCTCTTCTGAAGAAGCTGAGAAAATCACCTCCTCACACAAGCAGGGTTCTATGTCGTTAACTCCCGGCGTGGGCACAATGAAGACACAAAGCTCAACAAGTTTGAAATATTACATGCAAAACATTACTTTTAACAATTATCACTTCATCAGCCTCAAAATAATTAGGTTAGTCTTTATTACATAATGTTGTCTCCTTTAAGGAAACTACATTCAATTTAATCGCGATAAAGAAGATAACAAATTAACATGCAAATATGTTAATAACCCTCTCTTAACACCTCAAAAAATACAAATATTGTAAAATCTTATGTAAATATGACATAAGACACTCGCTGACGTTATATTAAAAGCACCTCTTCCGTTCGGTAAAAGAGACCGTTAAGACTATTTCTAAGGCGAAATCCGCATCCTCGTATTTTTCAATATAAGCTCTTTTCGGAATATTTCCGCCTTACATGAAATATCAAATCTCAAAATACTACCGGACTAGTACCGGACTCACAAACAATGAATCTTTACTTCTTTTCTTTTTAATCTTTTTAATCTTTACTTACCATAAACAGTCTTTCACTCGCACCTGCTTCCATCTGAAGACGCTGAGAAAATGGCGGCTTCTCGCACTGGTGTCGTCCGATGTTAACGTGAAGTGCGTGCTCTCTTTCACGTCCGCGGTCTCAACCCAGCATTTGGGTTGAAAAAACAACTCAGTGTTTTTTAGCGTGCATGCATATATTATGTAAACATAACTTTAACTTTTATTTTGGATGCGATTATTCGCGATTAACTGCTTGACAGCACTACTTTTTACCTTTATAAAGCATTTTTTTTCTTCTAAAAGTGTGCATCATCTTTTGAATCAAATTCTTACATTTAATCAGTGAATTAGAATAAGACATTTGGACTGCTAGTTACCAAACAAATGATATCAGTATCAACAAAATTCATCTTTGCAACGCAGAGGAAACACAGAAGCTGCATCTGAAGAGACATTTAGATGTAGGCCTATTTACACACTGTTTAATTCAGCTCAGAGGGACATGAATGCATTTAACCTGCAGTTACAAATGCATAAATAATATTTTGTTATTTTAAACATAAAACATTGAATACTGATATTTACTATTATTTAAAAAATGAAAAGATACTTTAAATGTGAAATTAAAACCGCCAGTAGGTGGCAGCAAGTCACTGTTAATAAGTGAGTCATTGCGATTAAACCGAATCATTTAAATGGTTGATTCATTCAGGAATGAAGCACCGTCATGTTGCTCAGAGACGCAAAACAGTGCTGTGGCTGTGCTTAGAATTATTTTTGTTGGCGAAATAGCGCAAAAACAGCGTGGCGCGCTCCACAACGGACAAACCAATTACACTTTGAGCTTCGGGCGCATGTCCAAATGATCAAATACACACAAAATATGTCAAAATGGCCGGCTTGGAGAGTATTTACTTAAACACAGTTTATGTCTTAAGTGGAGGAGAACAGCTGGGAGAAAATCCGATGTGTGGCAATATATTGTCTTAAAGTGACAGACTGGCGCTTGGGCCATCAAAATGCAAATCTGCTCTTAATCTGAATAACGTTATAGCTTTAATAAGCATTAATCTATCAATACATACACTGAGAACTATGCAGTGTTCATTTACATTACTTTTAGATTTATTTTGTAGGCTATTACTTACCTGAACAGTAATGTTAGTAGAACTTCATGGTAAAATGACAGCACTGTTTATTTCATTTCATTTGTATATTTGTTTTATTATATTTGTCAGTTTGTTTTACTTTGTTTCTTTGTTCATGTTCTTACTGTATCTTATGTATAAAACACTAAAAATGCCTGCACGCTGGTGCATTTACAAATTGATGTTTTATATTCATTTCATTAAATGTTTATTTTACATTTCAGAATATAAAGCAATGTTAATTCAGCTCTTAATTTGTCATATATATATAAAACAAAAAGTACCGATAAGAATACCGTTAAAGTACCAAACCGATAAGCAGTATCGATAAGAGTAGTAATACTGTTAAAACCTTAATGATACCCATCCCTATCTGTAAGCATGCTGATTTTTAGAGGTGAAAACTGGCACTCTTCTTGTGATATTGACTAACTTTCTTACTGTGGTATTTTTATGCATAACTGTATGGGGAGTGTGTCTGTGTGTGTGTGTCACAGAGAGAGAATGAGACAATCAACATGAATGGTGCTTAGTCTTTCACAAAACATAGCTAACTTAGGGACATCATAACTAGCCACCATATTGATTTACGGTCTTAAATATGTCCAGCCTTTTATCAGGTTGTGCGTCAGTAATAATGGACTGTGGGGAAACAGTGTTCCCTGTGTAGTTACAGTAAAAAATTTGCCTCGATGATTTTTTGTAATCGAGTTACTTGAGGAATCGTTTCAGCCCTAGTGTAAAACAACACCCTTTTTACCTTGTCAAAAACAGCTCGGTTCACAGCGACTCGTTTCAGTGCGTGTCCCTTTAAATGCTAATGAGCTCGCTTACCCCGCCCCTTTCTTCTGTGCGGTGACGAGTCGTTTCTTATGAGGCTGTAAACTTTAGCCACGGAACTTGCTAACTAGCACATTATTTGGAAAGGCGATTTGCAAAGATTAATAAAAAAACCTTATACTCACTTCTTCTGTAGGTGAAGCTGGATCACGAATGATTCGCGCAAACATAGACGCATTTAGGTAGATCGGGGGTGCATTCCCTTCAAAAACAAACGTAATCCACTACGTCTTCAGCGGCTCAGATGTCAGGAGTAAATGATGACTGCTATGTTCATTATTACATCCAACAACAAAACACCTCAATCGCTTAGGATTCATTCTTGTCTACAACTGCTCCTGTGTCGAAACAATGGTGGACTGATGACAGCTCACTCAGGGCAGATCTAAGGCAAAACACCAGTGTCAATCAACAATCGTGGGAGTGGCCTGTGTATGTGTGACATCACACATCCAGGAATCTGAGAACGGCTTGATCTGAGACACTGGTCATGATTTATTGAGATTAAAAAAAAAAAACACTGGATGGATTTTTCTCATTATAGGGTGGTTGTGTACACACACACTGCTAAGACACATTTCAGTTCAAACAACATGTAAAAGTGAATTTAGAATTTTGAGAATGATAAACTTTATTGAGGAAGCAGCACTGGTCCGATTGTTCAGATAAAGTTAGGTGATTAGTTAAACACTACGTCCTGTTAACAGCAGGAAAGCTAATTGTATTCGTAGGTGAACATAAAATATGATACATACAACTGGTGAGCCAGTCAATGTAATGCATATGTCTTAATGGTCTGACATAACAATAAAATGCGACATGAATGATGAAGCATTGTCTGGTTACATCACCTTGCGCCTGGCATTATGAAAACAATGTTTGGGATACCACGATCAAAACTTAGCATATAGACAGTTTGATGTTGAATATTCATCCAAATTAGGGTGAAAACCAAATTATTTGTGTGTTAAAATAACATCTGTGTGTTCAAAATGTAAAGAAATGCTTCTATTACTTCACTGGCCATTGGAGCGAACCAACCCTGTGACGTCACACGCGGTGGTACTGCAAGATGGCGGCGCCCTTGCTCTAAAACCTATAACAAAACATCCTTTTTTCTTTAAAATGGTTACATTAATTATGTTTGTTATATATTTTTTAATCAAAGTGGAAATCACTTTACTAAATAATGTTAACTTAACTGACTGCTTCACTTCCACTTTAAGACAGCACAACAGCATATTGATTGTACTCTATGTCTGTCCCTCAAAGGTTTTTTGAGCCTTTTTTATAGAATATGCCATTTTCCCTAACTTAACTCTATGGTCCGATACTGTCCAGTCCTTTGCTTGTTCATCATCTTGGGTCTATAAATGTAAGTGACTCACATGAGTCATTAAATGACCGTACTGATGTGTGTGTGTGTGTGTGTGTTCAGATCGTGGGCAACGGCAGTGAGCAGCAGTTACAGCAGGAGCTGGAAGATGTGCTAATGGACCCTTCAGTAACTGAACTGGTGGGCGGCCTGGACCATCTGGGAGGGGCCGACCATGGCTATCCCACTACAGCTGTGCCACCGCGGTCCGGCCCAATACCCCCTAAACTTCAGATAGTGCTGCCTGTTCAGGGAGCTCAGGAGAGTGAACTCAATGAGAGATCTTACAGGGGTAAAAAAATAAAAATAAATCATGCTGTTTCCTGTGTGTGTGTGTGTGTGTGTATATATATATATATATATATACCTTTTTTTCAATTTTGTTATGTTGCAGCCTGATACTACAATTGTTTAAAATCATTTTTTTTCTCATTAATCTACACTCCGTACCTCATAATGACAAAGTGAAAACAGAATTTTAGAAATGTGTGTACATTTATTAAAAAGAAAAAAATTAAATAACACATTTACATAAGTATTCAGACCCTTTGCAACAATACTTGAAATTTAGCTCAGGTGCCTCCCATTTCTCTTGATCATTGCCGAGATGTTTCTACACCTTGATTGGAGTCCACCTGTGGTAAATTAAATTGATTGCACATGATTTGGAAAGGCACACACCTCTCTATAAAAATGCCTCACATCTCAAAATGCATATCAGAGCGAAAACCAAGCCATGAAGTCAAAGGAACAGCCTGCAGAGCTCAGAGACAGGATTGTATCGAGGCACAGATCTGGGGAAGGCTACAAAAAATTTCTGCTGCACTGAAGGTTCCCAAGAGCACAGTGGCTTCCATAATTCTCAAA